CCCCGAGGCACCCCCGAGGCACCCCCGAGGCACCCCCGAGGCACCTCCCCCCTTTTCATCGCACACACGCGCCGCCGCCACCCTCGCCTCGGCGCCCCGTGCTGCCCCGCGACGCCCCTCGCCGCTGCACCCGCTCAGCGCGCTCCCCCGCCGCTGCGAGTAGCCGAGAGGTGAGGAGTCTAGCAGCGGCCCTCCGAGCTGCTAGGGGAGATATGGGGAGATATGGGGAGATATGGGGAGATGCGGTCCTCCGAGCTGCTAGGGGAGATATGGGGAGATATGGGGAGATATGGGGAGATGCGCCCCTCCGAGCTGCTAGGGGAGATATGGGGAGATATGGGGAGATATGGGGAGATATTGGGAGATGCGGCCCTCCGAGCTGCTAGGGGAGATATGGGGAGATATGGGGAGATGTGGGGAGATATGGGGAGATATTGGGAGATGCGGCCCTCCGAGCTGCTAGGGGAGATATGGGGAGATATGGGGAGATATGGGGAGATATTGGGAGATGCGGCCCTCCGAGCTGCTAGGGGAGATATGGGGAGATATGGGGAGATATGGGGAGATATGGGGAGATATTGGGAGATGCGGCCCTCCGAGCTGCTAGGCGCAAGAGTTTGCGGACTGCATCCGCCGCCTCGGCTCGCTGCCCAAGGTGGCCCTCGACGAGTCGCGCCATCTCTCCCGCATCTCCCCATACCTCCCCGCATCTCCCCATACCTCCCCGCATCTCCCCGCATCTCCCCGCATCTCCCCATACCTCCCCGCATCTCCCCGCATCTCCCCGCACCTCCCCGCATCTCCCCGCACCTCCCCATACCTCCCCGCATCTCCCCACATCTCCCCACATCTCACCACATCTCCCCACATCTCCCCGCATCTCGCCCGCATAGGAGTCGTTTGACGAGTCTCGGCGGGCACTCTCGTCCAAGCAGCTGATGGGCGAGATCGAGCAGTGCAACAAGGAGCTGCAGAAGCTCGGCCACGTCAATAAGAAGGCGCTCGACCAGTTCCAGAGCTTCAACGAGCAGCGCGACAAGCTGATCGACCGGCGCGACGAGGCGACCGACGCCTCGAAGCGGAATCTCCGCCCATCTCTCCCCGTACCTCCCCCCATCTCGTGCCCCGGAAGCGCCCGGAAGCGGAAGACGCCTTATTGCCGTCCAACCTGCGCTCGAGAGGACGCGCACTCCGCCGCCTTCCACCGCGTTCGACTGTCGCTTCACTGTCCTCGCATCCCCTCGTACTCACGCGCTGCTCTGAGGACTCTGCACGAGACCGTGCTCCCCCGCCCCGACCCCGGCGCCTGCACACTGCAGGTGGAGAAGGCGGAGGAGTCGATTCGCTCGCTCATCGAACACCTCGACCTCAAGAAGGACGAGGCGACGGAGCGCACGCTCACAGCTGGAGGTGTGAGGAGACGCCGTTCACAGCGGTCGCCGTGAGCAGGCGATGGAGCGCACGTTCAAGGGCATCGCAAAGCACTTCACCGAGGTCTTCCGCGAGCTCGTGCCGGGAGGCGCGGGCAAGCTCATCATGAAGACCTCGCACGAGGGCAAGCAGCTCGAGCCGGGCGCGCCAGCGGCACCGCACCCGCGCACGCAATCCCCCCTCCGCCCCTCACCACCCCCGTGCC